TGGTAGTCTAGCCACAAAAAAGGTAAAACGTGGGAAATTTGGGAGTAACCTCCAGACGTTATCTCAACCATTACCTCAGGAAAGCACAGGCTAAATACTGTATTTTTGGCTTGAAGTAAGATAATTAGCGACAGGAATTTCTGAGGCTTTCTTATACCTTTTGGTGCTCTCGGGTTTCTCAAGCGCTGTGCTTGGGTACTGCAGTTATGAATGTGATGTTGAGAGAATTGGGCAGCGAAGAACAGCCAAACTCTTGTCTAAACTTAAAACAGAATTTGAAGATTTCTCTTGTGTCTACGTTTTATGCTCATTTTAATGAAAGAGAGCGGGAAAGAGAATATGGGGAGGAGAGAAAAGGAGCAAGTCATCTGCTTTCTGTTAAGACTTCCTGTCTGCTGCTGGTTGTGTCTTGAGCACTAGGAACTGAACAGATTCCTCTAGGATAGCTTATGCTGGTGACCAGACAGACACCCAACTGCAGCCTTCTCTTCCTATAGCCAGCACCTCAAATTAGTTCAAAAAGACATCATTTTATAGTTGATGCCATTACTGCCTCTATAAGCTATTTACTTGTAGCCTTATTGTATTTAAAAATCATAAATCAGGAGGTTCGTAGCCTTTGATTGAACAAAGCTAAGTGAAAGAAAAAACTGAAGACGCAAACAGAATCGCCCTTCTAATTTGTCAAGCTTGCTTTCTTTGACAGTCAGCCTTGATTCCTTTCCAACACACCTGATAATTCATGTGTCCTGTTGTCTTTATAGACTTTCTCAAAGCATCACTGTTAGATTACTAGAATATAACATTTAAAGGGAAGATAGTAGCTGAGCAGTAATTGATTCATGAGGATGACTGAATGTAACCAGGAACTGTTTGTAGGATCATCATTCCTGGTCTATGAGACAACAGCAAATTGTTTTAAAAAAAGTCATTTTCTCCAGGCTTGAAAGTCCTAATTTGAGTTTCTGTTGATATCGCTGTAGCAATAGGCCTTGCTATTAGCACTTATTCACAGGAGAATGAAAGGCGTTTGACCGGTAAACGGCGAAGACCGTGTATTACTCGGATAATCCATTACGAAATAGACTGGCCTGTAACTCTGCATATTTAAAAACAATGACGATCTGCCTAGCGTCTGCACAGATGTGATTGTCAATACATGCAGCTAATCTGTTTTGAAATCAGGGCTTTTTGTTTCAATCAAGATTTCAATCATCTGTGTGAGGAATATTGTTTTGTGTTTATTTAGAGGGTTAGTTTTATGGCAGTGGCTTTAAATCTATTTGCATCCATCTATTGGATATTGTACCCCTAAGTTAATATCCTCCAACTTGAAACTATTACCCACTTACATAATTGTAGCAGTTTAGCAAGTTGTTGTTTATATTGATGCCAAATTATGATAGAATATTCAAATATTTAGGCAATTTGTAAACATTAATGAGCTACCTGGGATGCAGTCCTCATAACTTTGTGATGTGAAGCAAATTATGTGGTACAACTAAAGAACCAAAGATTTCATAAGCCATTCTGCCAGTGGAATGCTAGAAAATGTGTAGTTATGCAATTATTTGGCCACCAAAGCAGAATTTGACGCAATGTTTTGACATCACCTGCAAAAGATGCATCTGAGATTTAATTAAGGATGCTCTACTTTTCCCTTTTAAACTGTCCAGCTAGTTTTATTCATTGCTTGTCCTCCTGTTGAGAGGAAGTTCATCTAAGCAAGCTGTGCTCCATGCTCCTTTGCTTAGGAAATCTGTCTTTCTCTTGTGTGGCCACAGTTTAAAAGCTGCACGTTTTTGATGCAGCTTTAAGCTTAAGCTTTCTGACGTTTCTTTCCCTTCCGCTGTGTTTGGCAGCTGTTGAGATAAAGTTGGAAAAGAGGGCATTGAATGTTTTCTCTAAAAATAAATCCTATCAATCTCCTAATGTGATTTATCAATGTCAAAACTTTCCTTCAAAGCCTTCTTAATTCCATTAGGTTTTGATGGTGGATCACATCATACATGTTGTCCTGAAAAAAAATACGTGATGTCCTATTTTTTTTAAATCCAGGGATAATATTCAGCACAAAACATAACTCTTATTTCCAGATAGTTCAAGACTATCCTGACAGGCTATTTGGACCAGCTGTAAGATAGTTCTCTACATTTCTCAGTGGCTATATAATTCTGAGAAAAGAAGGAAGCGGTCTGTTCAGGAAGAGACCAACGAGGGAGCTTTTTAGCTCCAAGAGAAGAAGGCTCTTTAGAAAGCTCTGGGTGAATACAAAAACTTGTAAATAAATCAGACTTTCGCTATCATAGGCACTGAGAGATGTTAGAGATGCAAGTTGTTCCTACTCTTCTGAGACCAATAGCAATTCTTGTATGCCCTCCCGTCATACTGGCTAAGTGCTTATGGATGCCATAGCTAATATATGTGCCAATATATATCAGCTATATCATAGGTGCTCAAAATTATGGATACTTTCAGTGACATCTCAGTTGTCATTGGAGCAGATGGAGTGCAGCATGGTTTCCTCTACCAGCATTTCTGGTTTTGCCATAACTGTTGTCCCAGATAATCCATCAGGTCTCCACATCATTGGATATTCTAGTACACAGTGGCCAACGAAACTACCTCTGAAGTTGCTTTGTGCTACTGCTTGCTGAGGATTGAGGTGGCAGCCTGATGTGGCTTAAAAATCAGCGGTGGCGTTCTTACTGAGTCAAGGTGAGGTCTGGTTTGTGTTAATTGGAGGACACAGGTCAACCTAACCTGGGTTTAGATTTCCTGAGTTTGATCAATGTGTGTTATACCCATCAAATGTTTTAGGTGATGCTTTCTTCATTAATTAAAAATAAACAGATCCGGGAACTAATGAGATTTGATCTTTGATTACTTTAATGGCTTAAGTTCTTAACAGTGCCACTATGTGATTTATTCACTGATATTCCTGACGAAGTCCTTGGAGAGGGTGTGTTTTTTTTTTTTTGTAAATCACTGTTGAACGTTGTCTGATCAAGTTAGCACAGTGCTGATTTTCATATTTTATTTCACCTCACACTTTATTCTTGTTTATTTAATTGCCAAAAGCAGTAGTCATCCAAATTCTAAACACAGATAACCCAAGTGCAGATTTTCTGTCCTACAGTAGTTTACTCTATAACCACAATTGACAAAATCGTTTTTTAAAATGACAAAATGTCATGTTTCTTTGCTCTTTTAAAAAACTGTAATGATTATCATCAGGAAAAATACATTTGTAATAGAAATGGCACTATTTAAATTAAAGATGAACATTTAAATTGCACTATTTTTGAATAACGTATCGGATAAAATTTACCACTGGGAAAACAGAATACACTGAGTAATTTATATAATAAAAATACAGCATATCTTTGGTTTTCCTTTGTTTAAATGTTGCATTTTGTTTTAGTACTGTTAAGAGTGATTGTACAGAAATTTGAAATAAAATTCACCTAGTTTTGCTATAAAATTCATTTATACTAATCTATACCATTAATACCAATCCTAATACCATCAGGTCAGTTCAATGTAAAGAAATTATTTCTATTTTCTTATCGTTGAAATATATAGAGATGTTTAACAGGAAGCGTCTTTCTACTCAATTTACAAATTGCAGTACAATTCTGCTTGCGTTTTCTTTAAATTTGGTATGACTTTGTCAACTTCCACCGTCTTTTAAATGTCTCGGCAGTCATTGCCTAAAATTTTTAATTGATATATCGGAAGGTATTGATTCATTAAAATACAAACATTGATTATTTAAAGCCTTCATGTTCTTTTGAGAGAAAAATACACTTCTGGTATGTTTCAATTCAGTAAACTCTCTCCCTCTTTTCTATAATGCTAACTTTAAATAACTTTCTTGTCTCTGTTTTGTAAATGACCTGATTTGTTTCAGACCACTCTGACAGTGGAGCTTCACTTAGAGGGGAAAACAGCAGGTTCCAACTCTGCTTGATCAGTCCTGCATGCTAATGAAGGGAAGGCGATTTGAGGTTTCACATGAGTTACCAGGTCAAGGGAAAGACCGACTCTTCAACCATTGTGAAAACTAGAAGCTCTGTTCTTCGGTAAACTTCTGCATTTAATTAGGAAATCCCACTAGGAATAAACTTTTCCTTAAGACGGAAACGGTCGGTGAGTTGAAAGGACTGACTGTGACTATCAAATTATGCCTAGAGAAACTGGGGAGAGTTCTGCATGTAAGATTAAAATTCCAACTATTTGCATTCTTCCCTTTTTAAGTAAAGGCAGGTACTAATTTTACCTAAAGCATTTTTAAGATTAAGCATTTCAGTACTGGGACAGGTCAGGTTCTCCAGGAATCTCAAGAACCTGCACGTCCAGATAACATTGACTTCAAATGAGATTTCTGTCCATGGCTCCTTTAGGTTTCTTTCAGGAGTCAAGCCAGATAACGGAAGATGAATGCTTAAATGCTACTAAAACAAGTAACAGTTTTAGCGTTTTGTATACAAGAGGTGAGTTCAATTCAGCATGCCTTGCAGCCTTGTAATAATTTGCAGCAGTACACCATGAGTTTAAAATACTGATATCCTGATGTGGTAACATCGTGCAACATGCACATTATCCAGGGCTGCAGGGCAATGATAAATCAGGCTTCGTCTTAGCAGTAATTAGATACAACATAGCTTGCTCTGAAGCGTATTCAAGGAAAAGGATGAGGTTAAACTTCAATATGATTGTAGCAAATTTACATGTCTGTTGCAGAGATAAGATGTTAACCAGCTACTTGCTGCAGGTCCTTCTTTGACAAGAACCTACTTATAGCTCACCACACTGAAAAGACACACACAAAAAGATCTGAAAAGGAAGTAATACAACTCACTTAACTCTGTTCATCATTTCAGCCATGAATCATGAAACCAATTGTTAACAAAACTGGATGGGAGACTGAATGAAAGTGAACAGGATTTTGAAAAGGTCAAAGAGATGAGCTTTTTACCTTGGTTTCAGGTCTGAGATCTATCAACAAGATGACATTTGAGAATGTCTAGAGGCATTCTCTCCCAAGAGAGAAAGGCAGAAAGCTCCAGCTCAGTCGTCCTCAGTGAGGGGACAGCATCAGGTAATTTTTCAGCCTTACAAAAGTATGTTGTGTTTGTTTTTTAGTTCAGTGTTGCAGGGAACATATTTATATCTTACATGAAGAACACTAAGTTGAGCTATGTTGCAAAACAATCTCCAGTTATGTGATCACATACTGGTTTTTATCCCACAGAATTCCTGCAGGCAGTTAGGGTTTTCTAGTGAAGTATAATCTTGGGTATGGTTTTTTTGTTGCAGAAGGTGAAAGGTGTGCTGTGACTGAGTTAAGGAATTTCAGGAAAAGAAAGAATGGTATCCTTTTTGGCGAATGAATCTCACCCTGTGTTTGTGCGGCACTGCTGGTGTGAGAGTGCAAGCTTCTTGTATTGGGCTTCACAGGTCTTTTTAACTTTGTATTCCTCGCCCACTGCGTATCTGTGTTTGAGATCCTGAGACCTGATCTGTAGGTGTGAGCAGTCAGCGCTTTCTTAGCAGTTGTAACAAGAAGATCTGATCCTTAAACCTGTATAAGAGGGTTATGTAACAACATAAAATGGGTGGCCCGCTTTGGCCTTACTCTATTTGTCTACCAGTTCTCCCTGTCCTTTATTCCATCTTTTTGTCACAGGGATGTTTGGAAAACTCTGGCGTGACTGTGGTAAACAGTTTGTGAGTTCAAAGGACTGGAACAGCATGCAAGAAATCAGGCACAGTTTTAAGGAGTACTATTTGTCCTGCGTCCTGAATGGGGTCAGATCCTATGGGGAAAAGTAGGATGTAGTAATGTCCTTGAAGACAGTCGTACCTGCATATGTGCAGGACAAATTCAATTCTGCCATTTACTAACTTCTAGTCATTTCACTTATATCTTAATACTTTTTTCATTAGAACTTCTGTGCGTGTGGCTTTTTCATGCCTAAATTTTTATTAAAGTAGATTCTACCCCCTTCACAGTATGAGGAACTGATGATGTTAATAGGCTTTTATCCTATGTATAGACCACTGTTCGTGGAACATTGAAACCTATCAGCCAAGATATTCTTGGACAGCAGAGCAATGGTACGACTCCAGTACCTCAGTTCTCTTCCAGACTTCAAATGAAGTGGTTTGGTAAATACAGACACGTTGTCCCATTTTCTTCCTAATCCAGAGTCCAACCCTTTAGTTCAGTTTACCTATTTCTGGTTTGCATGGGTCCTCATTCCCCTCTCTATAGTCTTTATTCAGCCTTTCTCTTTTCCTTGATTACTCTAGTCTCCAAGTGCCTCCACGTTCCCTGCCCTGTTGGCTTTTAGAAGCTGAAAGAAATATTGCCAACTGTGGAAGGGGTAACCTGATCACAGGTGCTCTGTCTTTATCAGCTTGGTTCAGTGTCTCGCTTGTGATTGCCCAGAATGGCAGCACCTGCAAGAAAAATTCTGCTCAGCTGAGGTTAGAGTTTCTGCTGACCGTGTGCACAGTGCTTTTTTTTTTTTCTTTTTTTTAAAGATGGTTTGTAACATTACTATGTTCATCAAAGTCAACAGCTAAATCAATGCTTATTTTTGATTGCTGATATTTTTGAAGTTAAAACTTCTCCTCACTTTCAGCTTTTAAGACCTGCAGGGGCTTTGTTTTTATTTTACTCTCCTGATCTTCTAGTTACAATTTCTGGTGAATTTGGAAGTCTGTATATCCTGCTGCGCCTCCCCCTCCCCGCAATGGCTAACTCCTTCTCCCAGGAAGCTTGTCTTCTAAACCTTAAAACTCCTAGGGCATTTCAGAGCAAAGGTGGCTCATGCTTTTCCGTGCTGTGACTTAACCTGATGTATGTGAAGGTCCTTTAACTAAAAAGTGATCACAGATGATGTTTTAGTTGAATAAACATATATTATATTTGTCCCTCTGCAGTTTTTTACCTATACCTTTTGAACCTTTAAATGCTATTGCCAAATTCTGGGAAGAGTGTGTTTGGAAAGAGCATGCTAGTTTGAGCTGCTCATCCGGTGTAGATCCGGCAAGGTTCTCTCATTGACCCGAAAGTAAATGATGGCATCTGGAATGCTGCAGGAAGGACTAATTCAACCTTGTTGAGGCATCGCGCTTAAGGGCGCTGAGTAAACTCAGTGCAGAGCCTTTGGGATCTGATACAGTTGATAGTGATTACGGTAGGAAACAGAGGATACAGATTAGACAGAGAAGTAATTTTTTGTTCCTGGGTTCTGTCTGCATATGTAGTAATAACCGAATGACAAAGCAGAATCATTCTCTTTGTAATCAGACACAGTGGAAATTATTCCATCCTGCATTCATGCTCATGGATTGTATCTTTATCTGTTAGGTACTGAATTCTGTAAGCTGACTTTACTGGAAACATGACTCTTGCGTTTTTCTTGTAGACCAGAAGTAGCCTGCTGTAGGACTTGTTAACTCTCAGGGGTCATATCTGGCATGTTGCTGGGCTGCTCTAGAGGTCTAGGTAATTTTCAGCACACGAAGAAGTGTGATTCATGGACAGTTGCAATCAGTTCGCATAGCCTTGCGGACCACAATTGGGGAACTACTGGCTTAGTAACATAGCCACTCTGCTGCTGTTCATACAGTAAACTCATACGACAGTGCAAGAACTCATCACAGTACCTACAAACAAAAATTATTTTCTAGTTCTGAACCTTCCACCTCACAGGCCTGTTCCCTAAGATGAACTGTGAAGAAGGAGGTGGAATAAAAACAAAGAAAGGAAGAATTTGATCTTGACAAAAGACAATATTCGCTATTATAATTGCTATTTCTATGTCTTTGTTGGTCTGTTAGCTTTTATCAAGCATGATAACAGGTTCATTAAAGAATACTAAAGGGAAACAAGTCCCTGCTAATTTCTGAAAGGCCTTATCCAAACCTTGAGCTGCTCTTGTTCTGCCACGTTCTGTCTTATTATAGATCCCCCGCTCATCCTCTCCTGTCCCTCCCTGCCATGACGTTTCCTTTGCCTTCCGCAGTTTGCACCGCGCGTGGGAGCGGGATCTGTGTCTTAGCAGGAATCACTCCTCTCCTGCTTTGTAAACGGAATGATACCACACAAAACATCACCTTAGCCTGAACAAAGTAGTCATGAGTACTTTGATGTCCTTGTCATAAAGTGCTAATTGCAAGGTTTTAGTGTTTGAAATGGAGAGTTGCTTAACAGAGAAGGTGACCTCTGTGTTCGCAGTACTTGAATACTGATAAGCTTATTTACTTCTCCTCTGAGGCAGTTTTAACGAGAGGAATAAGGAATATAGGGTCAGTTAGATTTCAGTATTAGCAATAAACGGAGGTCAGATTTTTGCAAAAATTGTATTTTGTAACTACACTTGAGGATGCTGCCCAAAATATCCTCTAAGAGCTGCAGCAACTATTAATCTAGAATACCAAATTAAAGACTAGAGTTTGTAAATATTTAAATGTCACATCAGCCCTTGCCAGGGACCTGCATTAAAGAATTCAGTAGCTTTACCTGACATCTTATTTACACAGGCTTCCCTGTTTTCAGAGCTTATCTCTTTATTTTACTCACCATGAGAAGTTGCCTGTGTCAATGTGTATGTGTGTAAAGCTGTTTCTCAAGGGCTACGCTGCAGCGTGCTTGCCTGCCTGCAGTAAGTAGTCGGGCAAGTGCAATCTGTTGGAGGATTACCTAAACTGTAGAGACGTTTTCCTGGAATGGCTGTGGGGAGGGCCAGGGAGTCTCTGGTTCCTCGCTCCACCCAGCCCTTCTCTGGCCAGCACATCAGAGAGGGAGCTGATGGTACTTAATCTGCAGGTTTGTAGGCCAGACAGGAAATGGGAGAAATCATGACTGAGGCGTGCCATTGATTCAGTGCTTTCCGCGGTGGGGCAGCGTGTGCCTCGCCCGGTGCCCCGTACTCTGAAGTCAGTCGAAGCAGTGTCTTAGAACCAACTCTGACAATATGTATTTGGCAGAGATCCTTGCGTGAGATCACTTGCCTAGGACTTGGGAGAGCGCGTGGCAGGTCTGTGTGACTCACTTCAGCCAAGGAATAATGACTGCATGAGATGAAGGCTTATCCAAGTACAATTTAGAGATTTATCAACACTATGGTTCAAGCAGATCTATATTGCGATAGGTATTTCACTTCCTCACCAAACGTGCCAAAGAAGGCTACAGTTGTTAACGCAGGTGTTAATGGTTTTAAAACGCCTCTTTCTCTTTTTTTTTTAAAGTAACTTTCTTGTACAGCAGTCAATGTTTGTTTAGTACATAAAACAAAAAGGAAAGTAACAGTTTGTTGGTTTGTTTTTGAAATCAGTTTGGGGATAAATGCTTTCTACCAATTGGAAGCTTCCTGTTAGTCAAATCCTTTCTATAATGCTTGAGAAATAAAGGATAGCCAATATTCTCCATTTGTGATTAATTATATTGATTCATGGAGAAGAGCGTGGTTCTCTGAGAGTCTGAGTGAACTGATCACAGTGCCCAGCCAGTTGCTCGTGGAAACACACCTTCTTAGAGTGACTTAGTGTGTGATGTAGAAGCAAATTCCTGAGGTTTGCTCATGATATGGTGTATGGAGTTATTGCTTTGAGCCAAATGCAACTTCTCTTTGCAGCACAAGGGGCAGAGCAGAGAAGACCAAGTTCGTCACATACTTTGTAAAGTAAAATAAAAATATCTTCTTCTGATACTTCCATTAATTTCTTTGTAACACCTCCTCCTCAGATGCTGATTTGTGAGATTATTACCAACTGAGGTAATAGTGTTTTGGCTCGAGAACTTTGAAAGCTAAGAGAAATGCAATTTCCCCATGAAACTGAAGAAGTCCTCCTTTTAGGAAAAAAGTGTGTATGTGGAGACTTTCAGGAAAGCGTCTCCAGGTATGTCAATGCTAATTTTTGGGATCTGCTATGGGTCTGATGGTACAGCCATTTCTTACACAGATTTATTTTCATTAATGGGATTTTTCCACTAACTAGATTTCTGTGCTGAATTTGTGTCTTAACTTGGGCCTCTGACATTCTGAGATACTCTGCCTTTATGGTGTTATCTATCTGGATTACTAATGCTTATGCAAGCACTACTGTGGACCCCAAAACCTTCAGTATACGCCACAGCATATTGTTAAGCCATGGCAGATTTGATACTCGCTGGTGGTGGTAGCTAGAGGAGGCTTGCATCCCCGTGGGCTTCCAGTACTTCTAGCAGAATGGCTAAGAAGGAATGTTTTATGAGATGTCTGCAGTTCAGGCAAGGTTTGGGTTTAAGCTTTCCCATGACATTCCTGACGAATCACACCTTAAAACGGTGGTATTTTAGTTCAGGAACTGAACAACGGGCGAGTCAGATGCCCATACATCCAGAGCGGAGTGGACATCTGGGACATGGGACCTCACCAATCATGACAATCCATCAGAGAGATACTATTAGAACCCTGATTTCAATGTTGACAGTCATTTAGCTGGCATCATTCCAGTTTACTCTTTAGCATCAGAACTTGTGTGCTCTTTGAAAAAGAATTTTTGTATCTGTATAATTTGTTCTAGTGGGTTGAGCTCGAGTTGATTGCTAAATGCTCATGTTAGGCAAACCAGGAAATCCACATCAAGTACCACTCAACATATTTGCATTTGTGAGAGAGAGGTTTTATGGTAATTAAATGGATGTGCAATAGCAGAATAATTCTTTGGGTTTTTCCATCGAAAGTCTCCAAATGAAAATGACAGAAGTGTCATTTGGGGATGCACTGCTAAATACATTTCCATCTAGCAGCTGATCTGCGCTAGGACAGTTGCTGGTACTTGTGAGGTACAATGTTTATACATAAAATTAGTCCCAAAATATGCAAATGTACTGAACAATATTCATAACTTGGTTGCATATAACATGCTCTGTATTACCTGAATTTTTTTCCCCAGAGTTCTTGATTTGATTTGGGCATTTCCCATACATGTAGAAAGGAAGTGTAAGAACCACATAAAGAATAAACTTCACTCTAGTAGTTTAGAAAAAAGTCTATTTGCTTGAATGCGTATGCACGTTCTATGTAATAATATATACATACTGGACTTTTTAATCACACATCCCACTGAAAAATGGAGTTGTGGCAGACCATTTTAGCTACTGCTCCTGTAAGATGGATGAGCTTATGTTGAGTGCATAAGCATAACCGAAGCTTGAAAATATGCATACTTACAGAGCAGAGAAACAGACTATTTGCCACCCCATTCTCCTGAAGAATTTAGGCAAAGCAAATCAGTTACAGGAAAATATAGAGCATTCAGTATTGTTTGCAAACATCTGAAAATATTTAAATCTAATTAAATGTGTGGGGGTTTTTTCTTAATTAGCTTTTTTTTTTTTTTGATAACTCTGCTCTCCTCCAAATTATCCCTATAGGTTTGTCAACAAAATAGCTAGTTTGCATTGCAAAAAGTTTTAGATTGAATTAAGTTTCATAGCTCAGTTCTGAGCTCGTTCTATTTTGGGCATTGACACCAGCTCCAGTGAAAGATATCACAAATTTGCGGAGTATTGATATGAATCCCTTGATGGTTTTAAGGTAAGTTCCTATATTTTTGCTTCAGATTTTCCAGACACAATGAGTGTGCATATAGTTTAATACATGTGCAGTAACATTGGCATGTGTGTGGTGTGCCACATATATTGTATGTGTGCAGCACAGGGAACTTGCACAAGTGCAGCAAGTCTGCTGTGGCTTGTATGTATTGGAGGTACTGCACAAGGCAGCCACGCAGCAGGTGGGTGCATTCTCCAGCTGATGTGCACTTTAAGACCAACGAATCCAGAAAGCATCAAATTTTTCATGTGCTTTTGCTATTTATGCATTATAGCTGCTGTGAATTAACTGCACCTGGTAAATCTACTGCCCTGGCTCTAAGCAAGCTGCAAGGCATCCAGAAATCCCAGACAAACCTTCAAAATTTTCATATTCCCTTTGGACAATATTGGCATGTTGCAAAAGAGGAGCATCTAGGAAAATCTGGAGTGTAGGGCTGTTTTCAAGGCCATTTTTCTCAGTGCAGATAACTTCAAAGTTACAGAAATAGCAGAACTTGCACAATTTCAGAGGCACAGAAAGACTAATCCACCCACTTGCCTGCCTCTGAGGCAGGCTCTGCTATCTTTGAACTTTTCACACTCGACTATCGATTTTCTTTCCAAATGCTTGTCCTCAGTATAAAAAAAAGTGACAAAACAGGGCATTTCTGTCTCAGAACTCATGCTGCCAACGTTCTAATTTTGAAACGAGAGAGCAGTGCAGTCCTGAAGCACAGAAAGAATAAGAGTACTGATTCCATTATAGATGGAATAATTCTTTACATTTCTTCCCATAAATGCAGGCTTTTTCCTGAGAGTTTCTTTTTAATAGTCTGATTTTAAAGACATGGATGTTTGCCACTATGTTTCACTGTTAATCAGCCATGTATAGTCAAAAGAGCACATGGCATTTGTGAAAAAAGAAAATACACGTGCCATTTTGGGCAGCATTGCCATAGTGGTTTTCACACACAAGCGAGTGAAAAATTGGTTGTATATTTGGTATATTTTTTCATCACTTTGCTTGCTTGTTCCAAGTCTAGGAATGCACAGTCATGTGTTTTTAACTCACTCGTTTAGTAATTATTTTGTGTGCTGCCTTATGCTATCCTCTTAGTCGCTGGTAATCTTACAGTTGCAGATTAGGAAGCATTTGCGTAGTTAATAGTTTATGTTGTACAGAAATACCAGCAGTAAATATATTCTCTTTTCCACAACTAAAAGCAGATATCAGGTCAAATTTCAGAGCTTTCTATAAAGCCAATTCTTCCTGAAACCTTTAATAAGATGAGGAGGGGGAAATAGGCAGCTTTTCTGTCTGCTAAAGCCAAGACAGGACTTTGAAAGATTTTTCAAAAATTAGTCAAAATTCCTGTGTCCTCTTCTGGCCCTCTACAGTAGCCTAGTAGTTTCCTTCACATGTACCCCTAACCTGCGATCCAGACTAGCCCTGCTGGCACACCACATTTCCTGTACTGCTGTCAGGACTGTTGTTTGATCAGAATTGCCTAATGCACGCTAAAACTGCCAGGTTAGAAAACGAGGTCAATTGTCTAAAAGCAAGGCCCTGCTTGCCAAAAAGTCACAGAGGAGAAAGCTTAGGTGCAGCTGAATAGCTGAGCTAGCCCAAGCACCTCTCAGGTCTCATGAGTGGTAAGTCATGGGTAGGAGGCTGATATTAGAGACCCGCATATGGCCTGCTATGCAAAACGTGCGCTCCCACTGACAGCTTACAACAAGCTGACATTTGCTGGGTCTTGGAGTGACCGAGAAAATACAAATGTATGTTTAAAATATATAATGTAAATGTTAACTGGCTGTAGTACTCATTACAAACAGGATTAAAATGATGTCTCTAAATGTTAACTCTGACACACTCGATTTCCTCATTCCCCAAGGTTGCTATATGCCTGCGGAGGAAATCATTGTCGGCATGACATTAAACCTTCCTTCTCCCAGAGAACTACTGCGGTAAGTGCCAGGACAATCCGGGAAGGAATAAAACGCAACCGGGTTAAGGTCCACAAAACTCCTTTGTTCTGTAATACTGCCTCTTGAATGATGGCATGTAAACATACCATTTTTTTTTCTTTTTGGATGAACGGTCTTCCTCCGCTGGTGTTCTTTACATCAGCCCTCCTGAACTTCCCCGATTTCTGCTGTCTCACAGCTGTCTCTTCGGCCCCCGGGGCCGGGGGGGAGCCCGGCCGGTGCTGCTGTCGGCGAACCCAGCCGGGGCCCACTGGGGGAAGCCGGCTGAT